CGTATGCATTGGCTCTGCCTGCCCCTGGACGGTTGTTTTCTTAATATACACAACTCTAAGCAGGCAGCCGTTCAAACAAGCATCCAGACGGATAGATAGGCGGTCATTGACCGTATTTAAAGAAGTAGAATTATTCCAAGTTGGATTAGCAGACGGTGCCGGCTAGGGTCAACCTAGATTTTTCTTTTAACCGGCTGCGGTTTACCCTTTGGGTATCCGTCATTGCCAGTTGCTGGGATGCTGGCGGCAAATGGCCGGGCGTATGCATCATACCCAAGATGTGAATTAATTGCTAAGGTTTTGACCTTGCTTAATTTGGGTTTGTAAGCGGCTGTAGTGCTTTTGGGCAAAGACCGGTTACATTCGACCAAGATTTGAGTTAGCGTCTGTGTTGCTTTGAAGCAACGACCGGTTGTATCTTGGTTTCAATGAATTATTCAAATGGCCATGAGTTAACCTAGACATTTGGTAAAGCCGCTTGAGTTATGATTTATAGAACAATGTACCACCCAAATGGGAGATTCTCTCTTCGACGAATTCACCCAGATCGGCGTCGCCGGTTGCTTGCTCATGTTAGAGCAGGCGGTTTAATATATATCCAGCCATTGGCCTTATGAATGGCTAAGTTTGATACTTAGCCTACGTCTACTCAGTTTTAAGCAGAGGGTTGCCCGGTTGTGCATTGCACAGATGAGACTTTGTACAAAAGACAATGAAAATAAAGTGTTCTTTCATTAATATACTCTATTTACAAAGATTTACAAGTCTTTAGAAGTAGTACTTTTTCAAGTTATCTACATTCCAAGTTCTGGCTAGCTGCCTGCCGTCTGGAGTTTCCAGGTGGTAGGTGCCGCCTCTTACTTCTTCAAAAATCCAGTAGGGGCCCTCCCAATTAGGGGTTAAACTTCCCTTGCTCATTAGCCTTACCGTTTGCCTCCATTTTTCGTAACCCAAAGTCCCCCACTTTTAGGGGCCGTGTGTGTACTCTTTTGTTGTAGGCCCTTGTCATTCTCATACGATATATCTCATGACGCAAGGCGGCATCGCCCCTGCCCTCCGGGAGTGAATCCAATGTTAGACGCATGGCCTCCCAATTTGCCTCTTCATCATAGAGCATGATTCGAAGTGTTGGCTCATAAAGTTCAATTGGCAGGACGGTTTCAGTGTTGTATGTCATGAGAAACGAGGTTTCACCGGTTACCCCTTTTTCAGTTGTTCTGATGGCCAATAGGACATGAGGCAACTCATCCGCCCATAGACCGCCAGCCTTTTCAATTTTCTTCTTAATGCCGTCTGAGATGAGCTTGTTGAAGGCTTCAACTTGGCCATTTACTTGGGGACGACCGACTAATGCAAAATAATGTGAGATCCCTTGATCTCCCAACCAGGTCTTGAGGGTAGGCATTTTAAACTAAGGGCCATTGTCAAAGACCATAGACATAGGTAGCCCAAACCGAGTGATGATGTTCCTCCAAATGAAGGAGATGACATCCTTTGTCTTAATGCCCTTGACCGCCTCTGCCTCAACCCATTCGGTGAAGTAATCTACAACAACCAGGATGTACCTCCATCCGCCAATAGCAGGCGTATATGGACCCAGGATGTCCATGCCCCATTTTGCAAATGGAACTGGGCTGTAGATAGCCGTCAAATCAGTAGTCGGACGGTGTTTGAGCCGGCCGAATCTTTGACACTTATCGCACTTCTTCACCATTTCCATGGCGTCTGCCTCAAGAATGGGCCAAAAGTAGCCTTACCGCCTGGCCCTTTTTGCTAGTGTTCTGCCACCTATATGCGATGCACAAAACCCGAGTGCAAATCCAATAGAACTTCCTTCCCCTTTCTAGGGTAACACATTTCAGCAATGGCTGGAGGTAACCCTTCTTAAAAAGTTCTCCCTTGTAGATCTCAAAACTTGAGGCTCTCTTTTTCAATGCAGCCGCTTCTGAAGGGGCGTCCGGCAAAGTGCCGTCTACCAAATAAGCCCGGATGGCATCCATCCAGGTAGAGCTTCGGTCAAGAACTCCAATGGGATCATGTTTAATGCTTCTTTTTTCCATGACTTCCCAAAAGACTGACCTAGGCGCATCACAAGAGGCGGATGATGCCAACTTGGACAGTGCCTTCGCCTGATTATTTTCTGACCTGGGCACCTGACTTAAATGAAATTCGTCAAGTGTCCTGGCCTCGTCTTTGACCGCCTGCAGATATGTGATCATAGCCGGATGCGTGGCCTCGTAGTCACCATGGTATTGGCTAACGATCAACTGAGAATCTGAGCAGGCGTCAAATTTTCTTGCCCCTGCCGCCTTACACATGCGAATACCGGCTAGCAGGGCCTTATACTCCGGCTTATTATTCGAGCCTTGGAACTTGAACCGTAGTGCATATTCATACTGGTCCCCTTCCGGAGACTTGCAAATTACGCCTGCACCACAGCCGTTCATAGTAGAGCTCCCGTTTACATAAACCTTCCAGACCTGATCAACATTGTCTGGCTGAGCCGGCCTTGTCATTTCCACAGTGAAGTCGGCGAACGCTTGACCTTTCACTGCCTTACTTAGTTCGAAGGTGATTTCCAGACTTAGCATTTCAATAGCCCGCTTGAGCATTCTGCCGGATGATTTTAAGGTTGTCATTGACCGCTTGAGGGGTTAGTCTGTGTAGACCACCACCGGATGTGCTTAGAAGTATGGTTTCAACTTCTTGATTACCATGAACAGGGAAAGGCCAAATTTTTCAACCAAGGGGTACTGCAGCTCACCATTTCGAAGAACATGGCTAATGAAATAGATCGAGAGCTGAATGCCATCTCTCTCAGCTAAGTGAACGGCATTGAGGGCATGATCTGAGACGACCAAGTACATATAGAGAACCTCTCCTGCTAGAGGGCTGACCAGCCGTGGCAATGAGTGGAGGTGTTCATTCAATTTGTGGAATTCCGCCTCAGCATTGTCGCCCCATTTGAATCTAGTCTTCTTCTTGATTGCCTCGAAGAAGTAGAGGCACTTGTCGCCTGACCGGCTGAGGAATCTTCCCAATGCCGCCAGACAATCGGTAAGTTTTTGGACTTCCTTGACAGTGTGGGGTGACTTCATGTCAATTATCGCCTGTACCTTTTCCGGTTGGCCTTTATTCCCCTTTAGTCAATCAAAAATCCGAGAAACTTCCTAAACTCAACACCAAAGACACACTTTTTGGGATTAAGCATGACCTTATGCCGCCTGAGAGTGGTGAAGGTTTCTCGGAGATCAGCAAGGTGATCCGTCTGTAGCTTAGATTTGATTATCATGTCATTAATGTACGCCTCTACATTCCTCCCAATTTGATTAATGAAGACTGTATTAATCATTCGTTGGAAGGTAGCAGGCACATTCTTCAGCCCAAACGGCATCACCGTATAACAGAACAACCCTTGATCAGTGACGAATGCCGTCTTCTCTTGATCTTTCTTCCACAAGGGTATCTGATGGAAGCCTGAATAGGCGTCCATGAAGCTCATCAAGGCTTGACCGGCTGTAGAGTTGACCAGACTGTCGATCTTTGGAAGTGGATAGCTATCCTTTGGACATGCCTTGTTCAGATCTATGTAATCAACACACATCCGGTGCCATTCGGCTTTTTAACACGGAAAACGTTTGCTACCCAATCCAAGTAGTAGAATTGCCAAATGAACCCGGCATCTAGCAGCTTCTTGACCTCGGCAGCTGCCGCCTAAGATCTTTCCTTGCCATGGTTCCTTTTCTTTTGCCTAACCGGGCTCTTTTTTTTATCCACGGCAAGTTTGTAGACAGCAAGATCTGGGCTAACGCCTGGCATCTCTTCCACTTCAAAGGCAAAAATGTGTTTGAATTCCTTCAGTAGTTAGTGCAAATTTGCACCCAACTTGGCAAAAGCAACCGTCCCCACTTTAACGATTCATTTCGGACGGGTGTCATCTAGAACAATATCAATATTTTCACCAGTTGGCTGGGGACAGAGATCATCTGATCGCTCCCTGATCAGTGATTGCAATTGCTTCTCTTTTTTTACGACCACCAGGTGGTCCGTGTTCCTCTTTTTGCCGGCTGCTTTGGGAGCAGGCGCAGCTTCCTTAAAGTCATCAAGGTCGATGGGCTCCTCGCCTTGGCCGGCTGCGGCCACGGTAGGCTTGACGTCTGAGAGATAACACTCCCTTGACGTCTTCTGATCCCCACTCAGGGAACCCACCGTTCCATCATCCCTCTCAAATTTCAGCAGCATGAGGGATGGGATGATGACTGCCTTGGACTCGTTGAGGGTTGGACGGCCCAAAAATCTGATTGTAGGCGGTCAATTCCTCGATCACCAAAAACTTGACGACCATGTGTCGTCCCTCCCCCTTTTCTCTAAGCCGGATGGGTAGGTCAATCCTCCCCATCGGATGCACTACCCCTCCCCCAAAACCAACTAAGGGGGTGAGAGACTTTGTGCATGCTGCTAGGCTTGTACTTGACCTTTGCCAAGCACTTGTAGCTGATAAGGGTCAGACGAACTGATAAGGTCAGACGAGCTCCCGGCCCACTCGTTGGTTAGAAACCTTGCATTCAATGACTATGGGGTCATCATGAGGCCGCTTGACCTTGCCCCGGTCTTTCTCAGAGATGATGACCTCAGGGAAGGTGTCTTTCGACGCCTGGCCCTCATCCACTACTTGATCTCTAGCCTTCGGATGTTGGCCTTGGTACCCCGGATGGTAGGACCCCCTCCCGCGAAGCTGCCTGCTATAGTAAAGATCTGCTCTTTATTAGTATCAGAGCTTATAGCAAGGTTTTCAGGCTTTTTGGACGGCTTTCCATTGTTTGTTTTGGGGTTACCCTTGGATTTCAGCATATAGGACTTCAAAGCCCCCTCATCAGCCAGATGGTCTAGTAACCGCCTGAGGCTATAGATTGTTGGATCATGTGAAAACCAACCTTAAGCTGAAAACTAAAAAGATGACATCTTAACAATAGATTGTTGATCCATCAAATCTTACGGTCGAGATTTTTTCCCCCAATTTTCATGCAAAATTTCTACAATTTCTCTCTCCTCCTTCATTTGCACGTTATTTTCTTCCTTCTCTACCTTATCTCTCCTACTTTCTCTATCCTAATTTCTGCCAATTTCATGCTACTTCTTCAAATCCAGCTTCAATTACTTTGATTTTCAGCAATTTCTTAGCTCTACGATCTACTATCAAGTGAGTTATTCGTATTAATTTGTTTTTTTTTTTTTCCAGTAATTTGCTATTTTTGCTTGATTATGCTTTCTGAAATTTTGTGATTTGATTTTTACGATTTGATTTATGCGGTTTTCGGATTTGATTTCAAGAATTTCGCATGAAATTCAATGTAAATTGTTTATAAACTTGAATAAAAATAAGTCAAATTGAGCGATTTGAGTATAAATTTGACAAATACAAAATCTAGATTAATCAAGAACAAATCGAAGAAAAATATCCTTCAAATTCACGCTCAATTCTCCAACCTCAATTGCCCAAAATAATTGCCGAAGAAGTCTTCATCGCAATGCTTGAAGGTCTTTCTCTCAATCTTCCTCTCTCTAATAACTTATTTCAAATAATATTCTTGAGCTTTTCTGTAATAGATATTTTGCTGAATTTTTATTATCAGAATGTTTATTAATATCAATGAAGCACTAGAATTATATATATGAATCGTGTAAGCCACTTGATTGATTCAAATTGAAGCTTATTTTTAGGTTTTTATTGATATTTTGTGCTGAATTTTGAACATTAGTTGATTTTGATTGTTATGTTCGATTTGTGTAAGTAGCTAGATTAATAATCAGGTGAGAGCACTAGAACTGAAGTATCCCTGTGATGCTTTATAGATTTTTGCTTGAAGTGAATGAATAGGTTTATGATTGTTTTTGCTGGTCAAATGTTCAGGTGAGAGCACTGCATTACTTGCATTCCAATCGAATTATTCACAGGGACATGAAGCCGCAAAATATTCTTATTGGTTCAGGCTCCATTGTTTAGGTTAGGTATTCAGGAGCTATCTATTTACTTCACATTTGTATGATATTTACTTTTGGCTCTTTGGCTATCCATAATTTCCACCCTCATTTTCTTTTGGTAATAGTTATATTTATTGTTGAAGAATCATTATTTTATGAGCTTTTTATAGTTTATATTTATATTTTCGTAATCTAATGGATATGATTATAACTCCATAGTTATCCAATTTGGAGACAAAGATTTACTATTTGCTCATGATGTACTTGTTTGGAATGTCTCAGTAAATTTTTGTGCCTTTTATTTTCATTGCATTTCGTGTTAAAGGTCAATTGAAAACAATTCATAATTTTATTAGCTGTAAGCATAGGGGTAAGGCTTCAGACATCTAGTCCCTTTACCTTGCTGGGGGTAATCACTTTTGTTTAGGCGATTGGGTAACATTTGATGTTCAGTAATGACTGTATTGCTAATTTCCTTTCTGAACTTTGCATTATCTTATATTTTTTTATCTTTACTCCAGCTTTGTGATTTAGGATTTTCTCGTGCCATGTCAATGAACACTGTTGTACTTCGCTCCATCAAAGGTCAGCTTTGTGATTTGTTTGCTTTGCTAGTAATCTAATTTCCAAGTTCATTGTGGTTGATGCAAATACTTTTTTTCTTGTATTTCTGTGGACTTAATTTCTATGGACTTAATTTCTATTTATGCTCTTCAGATGATTTTCTCTTACATTGTCAAAACCCTTGTTAACTTTCCATCAGGTCCAAAGAATGCAAAAAGAAAAGGAGTTATAGAAGTTGGTCTTTTATTCACAAATTATTTTACTGTTAACACTTTTGCTCACTTTATGCATCTGACTGTTTCAGGTACTCCATTGTACATGGCTCCTGAGCTTGTTCGCGAACAGCCATACAATCACATAGCAGACTTGTTGTCAAAATTGATATAATTACCTTATTTTTACATATTGTAACCTATTCGTTATTTTTATATATAGTGGTCTCTGTATAAATGTGGTCAAAATTGATATAGTTACCTTACTTTTGTATATAGTGACCTTTATGTAAATGTGGTCAAAATTGATATAATTACCCTATTTTTGTATATAGTGACATCTAAGTTTATATTGTAAAAATTGATATACTTACCTTATTTCTATATATAGTGACCTCGGTGTAGATGTCATCAAAATTAATATAACTTGATATAATTACCTTATTTTTGTATATAGTGACCTTTGGGTTGTTTCACACCATCAGATTATGCTTGTTTTTAGTTTTCACCATAAGCTCTGTTTTCAGCGGAACCTCCCGCTGTATATATATATATGCTTGCATGTCGAATCGTGATTATAAATTAAAAAAAAAAAAAAAAAAATCACTCTCGACATTAAATTCATGATAATTAGCTAGATATATTTGATTTACAAAATTGATTGACATAAATTTACAATTTTCAATTATTAGATGTAAATACAAAATGTTATCAGTTGATTCGTCAATCATGGGAAAAAATTGACGAAATTTCTTCACAACTTGATGGGCTAAAACAAATCAGCCAAACGCTCGACACTTGCGAATAAATATTTCAAAACATCAATTTTTACACTTTGTTTGAATATTATATACATAAAAATGTGATTACTCAAACCTTTGAATTGAAATTCTCTCTTTTTTCTTATTCTATTTTTAGACATGCGCAATCGTCCAAGGAGGTGAAACAATTGTTAGGTTAGATGTACAAATGTACTCTTTTCTAGTCATTAACGTTGAACCCGATAGTTTTAACCTCAAGATAGCTTGTGATCAAATATTTCAGTGGAATGATTATGACATTTAGGGATTGTCTTTGGCACTTGAAACATTTTTGTTCACAAAACATTGTTTTAATAGTGTTTTGTTAGAAGTGAAGTCTCCATATGAATGAAACCATATTAATGCAACAATCGCTTGGACATGACAAGTAAAAATATATTTATAAATTTGCAAATTTTCAATATCAAATTAAATGTGAATTTCTAACTTATTTCAATATTTTTTTGGTCAGCGATACACTAAATTGATTGTGCAAATCAAACAATGTTTCTACCTCGAACCCTTCTTTAAACCCGATTCGACAAATCATGTCGACTGAGGTTTGGAAAAGTGTCACGTTCACAAACACCCATATCCTTTTATGGGGGTCGTTTGAGTAACAGTTATAAATCTGACTTTTTATTAATGAAATATTTAGTTACACTTTTAATATAGGAAAAAATCATGGCAATAATCCGACCTATAGCCCATTCTTTTTTAATAATCCGACCTTTGGGGGTCTTTAATTTTTATTGGTCCCTACAGGTTACCTCACTTGTTGTAGCCAGTATTAGTCCTATGTGGCTTCCAACAGTGATATTCCTTTTAAATTTTTTTTATTTTGTTTAAAATGCCACGTCCCTTAATTGTTGGGTCTTCTTCTTCTTTTCTCTGTTTCCTCTCTTCCTTAAACGCCATTGTTGCTCTCAAATTCCCCTACCAAATCCCTCTATTGTAACCTCAATTTGGTTGCAATGGCTAGCAGGAGGCACATTGGGTCAAGTGGATCATCTTCGTCAAGGTCAGTTGCTTGGGGTTCCCCAAAATTGAAGAGCAAATGCGGTGTAGAAGCTGTAATTCGGACGGTGAGGAATGGTGATAATGTGGGTATGAAGTTCTATAGATGCCCTAAATGGCCTGTAAGTGTGGTGGGAAGTGACAATTTTTTATTTTTGCTATTGAACCTAAGATAATTCAATTGGGAAAATCAAATTAGGGATTTCAAATTCAATTGATTCTAGGATTTTTTTTTTTTTTTTTTTACGGGAGGGTGATTGTGGATTCTTTCAGTGGGTTAATGCTAACAAAATGGACCTTGAAGATCTACGATTCCAGATTTTTGAAAGAGATACTCAAGTTGCTGAAAAAGAGATTGAAATTGATTTCATGAAGGAGCAGTTGAAAAAAGTAGAGAAGGATTTGGGAATTAAGGAGGATGAGTTGAATAATACCAAAATGGAGCTTTGCCACACTAGAATTGAACTAATGAAGGCGTCAAGGAATGAAAAAAACTTCTCCATTGCTCTGTTTGTGTCATGGATTTTCTTTGCTTTTCTTTTAGTGTATTTGAAGGCATGACAGTGTTGTTGTGCATATCATAGTTAGTTAGAATGAATAAGTTAGTTTAGGTTGGGAAATGATTGTATTTTGGGCATTTGTGACATGTATGGTCAAAAAACTTGGTGGTTATGCAAGATATGTATGCTGCAATGATTTGATGAATAACAGGAAGTTATTTTGACAAAAAGCTTACAACTTCAATTATCATATAGAACTGAACACATCAAAGTTGTTATATTAAACATAATAAGTTGACAATGTTTAGTCCAAAAGACACAAAATGAACCCTGCCATGGTTCATGCCATTTCACAGTAATATGCATATTGACTTCTATAAGCCAACATGCCCAAACAAACTGTTCCCAAAAGCTTACATAAACAAAGTACAAACACTGAATTAGTTAATTACACCAAAAGTGAGTCACTGTTCATTCCACTACTTAGTTAACTATTGAGTTGGTTGATGTAAGGTGGAAAGTTGACTTTCTTGACTGCACTGGAACTAGCCCACAACTGACGTTGTTCTCCTTTGATTGACTTGGGTCTGCACACAGATACAACAGTAAATAACATTAGTATAACATTAATTGCAAGCTAAATCAAACACACATAAAGTGACAACATAAAGGCACTTACACTAGTCATTGCAGATCCATCTGATGCAATGAATACACCTACACCTTTTGGGACCTGAACAGTTATAACACATCACCAAATAAGCAACAAAAAGTTACAACATACAAATAAGCTATGTACAACTAGGAAAATATACCTAGTTCCTTCCTTTGCCCCTGGTACTACCCCTGCCCCTTCCTACTCCCCTATTCCCACTTGAAGCACCTCTGCTAGAACCAGCAACATCTGAACCCCTTCCCCTTCCAGCATTGACAACAGCACCTCCTCTACCCCTTCCACCCCTTGATCCCCTACCCATTATTATTGTTCTCCCTCCTCCACCAAGTATGGTAGGTTGAGCAATTAGGGAGTGGTGGGTTGTATCAATTTGTTGCCTAGAAGAGGTTGTAGCCTGAGTGGATTGCACAGATGTTGGTGTAGGTTGAGGTGCAGCTACAACATCCTTACGAGGCCTCCCTCTAGCCCTTTTTGGAGCAGGTTCAGGTGGTTGTACATTATCCTTGTTAGGGCGCTTTCTTTTATTATGCCCTTTTATTTGGCAGAGGGAACAAGTCATTTCAATCCCTATTCTTGTCAAGGAACCATATTTTTTTGGGGTTCTCATGTGGATCTTTGATTCGATTTTTTCTTAGCCTCCCTGGACCAATTTTGATTGGTGGAGGATCAATAGGCATAGACACTACTGGCCAATGTCTTTAACCTTAAATTGGTAGAATGGAGCCAAACAAAATCCAGAAAAGAAAGGCATTAGTTCACAACAAAATCCAGAAAAGAAAGGCCAAAATGCATGCCTTAATGGTAGATTAGTTACCTGCATACACTGACAAATAAGTGTCCCTGTAGTAGCATTTATCCACAAACAGCTCTGGTTCCTTGCCCAGAAAGTATATGGAAGCCACTGCATTGTAACATGGGATGCCAAGCATGTCCCATTTCCTACAAGTACAACTCCTACTTCCAAATCCACCGCTAGCTGATCTAAATTGTAATTCACATTGAAAAGGGTTTCAGAGGAAGGAGTTACTTCACATTCTGCAGCCTTTGCCTTCTCAGCTTCCAACTTGGCTTGAATTCTTGGACAAAGCATTGAGGTGGCTTTCATCATAGCTTGCCTCCTCACCATCATAATGCTCTTCACCTATATCAGCACAACCATCATAATGCTCTTGACCTATATCAGCACCACCATCATAATCCTCTTCACCTATATCAACACCACCATCAAACTCTGCATGTAACACATCCTCCTCCCCACTGTCATCTGTATACACTTCTCCAAAGAAAGGCTGGCTACTGACTCCTTTTCCTTTGTCAACTTGTGGGTTGTAACTAGGGTCAGCTGTGTCACTATCACTGTTGAAATCTGGTATCAAATCATTAATGGGGATAGGGCTATCAGGCCTTGAATCTTCCCACTCATAACTGTTGATAGGGTTATTTTTTGTGTTTGCAGCTGCTATGGAAGAGGGAGTGGGCTGAGATATTTCAAATGTGGTATTAGGGTTTATAACATAATTTATTCTACATGTACTTTGGTTAGATTGGGTAATGGTTGGTGGATTGGGAATAACTTCAGTGAGAGCATCTTTTTTTGAAATTGATGAGCTGTCAAGGGCTTTTTGGGAAGGTTCATCAATAGTCAATGGCTGACTTTTGTTTCTTGGACTAGATCTAACTGGTGGTCCCCTCTTTATTGGTAGTTTTTTTGTTCTCACAGTTTTGGGTTGGGTTTGTTTTGAGGAAGTAGGCTGTAGTTAAGTAGGAAAGGCTATTGGGTCATTGTCACCATGCATAGCATATACCTCCACCCCCCTGTGCTTCTCTGCCACCTGTATCATTTCCCTCATACTTTCATCATCTGTCACCTTCCTCAAACCATCCACCATACTGAGTCCAGGAACTAAGTATAAAAAACCCCCGATGACTAGGGGGAAGGAAAATAAGTGGAAAGATTGGAGAAACACTTTCTTCCTCATCTCCAGTCCTAATAAACTTCTGAACAAGCAATACAACAGGTGGAATAGGGATCCGCCTCTTCTTACAGGCGGCCCTAGCATGCCGCCTGTTCCTCGTCAAGCAAGGGAAGAGATCCTTGACCAAGGACTCTTCAAAGTAGAGATTAGGGCCAACTCTACTACCGGGGTACGAGATTAGGTGCCTTTGAACTGCGTCCCCAAATTTAAATGGCTTTACGACGAGTATTTTTTAGTCGTCTGTGGCCTAAGCAGTCGGGCCCCCA